GATTTGTGACAACAGCGTGCACTCCTGAAGATTTTCTTTTCTGGCATGAGTGTGGTTTTAGTTTATTCAGAGTAAGTATTCATCCACAAGAGATAGTCACTTTGTGTATTTAAAATGTTGTTATTTAAAAATTATTTCTAATGGATGAAAATACAAAAAAATGAACTATTTGCTGGAGTCCTGGACCAAATCTGATCTGACTCTCAACATGTGATGTGGCATTAGCCCTTGGAAATTCAGCCACTGAAGCCTCTAAACGTCCCCGTTGCTCCCCATGTGCTTTGTGGGGGAGCTGCAATCCTTGATACTGAACAAAGACCTTCAGCTCTTTCAAAGAACTGTGCAGAGCTCAACTGCTCTTCTGAGAGGTAGATAAGCAAAACCACAGATTTACAGCAAGGAAACAGAGTGAATTAAAGTGCTAACGTCAACAGCAGAGCCGGGTTCAGAGCATGCTCCCAGGCTTGTGCTCCAATCAGGCTTGGAGCACTGGGATCAGGGTGCAAAGGTAAGACTATCCCAGCAGCAGGGCTCCTACGTTCACCTGCAGCACGTCCAACCACAAGCACTAAACCAATGACCAGCTTTTGCAGATGCAGGTCTCACAGCTTTTTGCCCCCGAAAGGTAGTTGCACATGTTTCCACACAGCCTGATCTTAATCTGTGACTCAATAAAACAAACCTTTTGAGGGCAAAATTTGAGCAGAGACTCTGTTTTGCACATCGGTATCGTACCTGTTATTGAAGGGTTAATGCTGACAAGCAGTGTCAGGGCAGCTGGCACTAGGTAGACAACCTGTTAACGAAACACAAGTCTGCTCTGTAGCAAAACTTAGCAAGATAAGGAGGCAGAAGCGCCCACCCCCATTAATGCCTCTCCCCTTCAAAGCAGTTTGTCAGACGTGCAGAACAGCTGCCAGTCCCTCTCCCTCTGGCATGCCCTGGCACGGCTAACGCTCATCTTCACCATCACCGCCCAAAATCCGGGACCATCAGCTGAGTGCCAGCCCTTGTTCCTCAGCTTCTGGGGTGCCAAGTCCTCACAGTCCATCCAGCCTGCTGCAGAGCCCCTGCACTGCATCTCAATCCCCCGGGGAAAGCCCCTACAGGACCCTCCCCAGTATGGACCCCCAAACCCTCCGCCTGCACTGGGTGTCTCCCTGGAGAGCAGGAGCACCCTTGGCTGCGGCAGCCCGTCAGCTGAGCTCGCCCGCACGAGGGACGTGCAGGGGAAGGCCCCTGCCCACCCAGCAGCTCCTGTCACAGACAGGGACGTTGCCCCTTGTCCCTCAGCTCCACACCCGGTGCACACCGGGCTGCTCATGTGCCCGAGAAAGGGCTGGCAAAGCGGACAGCGGAGACGGTTTCTCTCTAGATTTCCCCTCGAGACCGAGGAAGCTCTGCCGAGTCAAGCGGCGACAGGCGGCAGTCAGGCCGGTGATTCAGGGCAGGCAGAGGTGCGATCACGGGGTGTCGGGTGCAGGGCAGGAGGAGCGAGAGCACCTCGGTGTGTCCTGCACAGGGAACCAGTGCTGTGCAGGGGGCAGGTGCCAGTCTGGGGTGAGATAGGGAAGATCCTGGGAGCGCGGTCGGATTTCAGCCGTCGCTGCAGCACAGCGATTGTTTTCCCGGCACCTGTTTGTTCTTCAGCTAAAAGCAGGGAACAGGTTTCCTCCGGCGGCCCTGTTCGGACCAGGCGCCGGGCGGATGGGCGCAGGGGAGCGGGGCTG